CCATGGAGACGGTCGTCGACATGTTCCGCAAGCTCGGCCTGCGACAGACGCTCGTCACGCACAACGGGTGCGTACACACACAACACACAACACAATCTTATTAACTGTATAGACATAAATAGTTGGAAGTTAAAATGGGCTGTTCAAGTTACTGAGCAGGTAATCAACCAATATACCACCTGATATTAAATGACCATGTGGCTCAAGTGGAAAAAGGTGGTACTCTTGAAAACTCCGACGTCACATTTGGAGGGTAAAAGTGAGTGCAAGTAGTTGAAATGGTTGTCGTTTGCAGCCGGCTGCTGGGCGTGATCACCAAGAAGGATGTGTTGCGGCACGTCAAGCAAATGGATAATGAAGATCCCAATTCGGTTCTATTCAATTAGTTTAAGTTTAATATATAGTATATTAGAATAGGCGCGGATATATAGCGAATTAGTTGAAGATAAAAGTGTTGTATAAAACGCATGTATTGTATGTATATAATTGTTTGCATTAAAACATCTATAGTAAATGTGTAGCCGAAACAGTCGCGTGTCGTGACAGTCATCTGCGCCATAGTTAATTACCTTGCAATCGACACACAGACACAATTTACAATTGATCCTAGCTTAAATATACATTATGCTTGTACAATGTCCTATTGGATTGTAATATTAATTGTAGCAAATTTTTTAATAATAATTGTCTAGTTAACCTTGAACAACACGGGCGTAGCCAGCCGTTACTTCACGGGCGGGGCAACTGGCGAAGCAACCTCCAGTCCTCCCTCTCTTGTGCCATATTGTTGATCTTATCCATATCGTATACCCAATTTGTCTTTTGCCTGTTGTATATATGTCTGTCTTGGTCTTCCTCTATTTCCCTTCCCTTCTATTCATAGGTAACTCCCTGTCACTCTGCAACTGCATGTTTTATTCTGATTATCTAGTTACTTATTGCTCGCCTATACAACATTATCAGGGAGAAGGGAGGCCGCGTTGTTCACGTAATCAATGTGCAATATCGACCGCTGTACCTACACAATTGAGCATGTATCTGTATGTATGGAATGAATTCAATCTTATACAACACAAATACCTGAATTACTTTTTGTTTACAATTTTATTTTATTTATTATTGACGCATTTTGTATACAAATGATCTGTTTTTTATGTGTTGTCCTTTTGTAAGTAAGTGTTAACACATTTATATTATGTATGTATATAGAAATGTAATTATGTGTATGTTTTTGTTTACTAATAATTTTCTTTGTGTAATAATAAATAATGTTTGAACACAACTGAGATTTTGATAGGAAATGTATTCTATGATGTAGTTAAAATAATTCCTTTTTTACACATGTTATAGCAAATGTTGTTATACCGTAATTGTGAATGTATCGACAGGGCCGTGTTGCAACAATTACAATGTTGTTACAATGTATAACAATTATCCGTCATTAGTTAATATAATTACCATAAATAATTGCTAATATCCCATGCGAATTAGATTTTACATGCAAAAGTAATAGAGTTAATGAGAGTTTCCTCTGGAGACGTAGCATAGATAGAGATTGTTGTCTTTCGTCACATTGCATTATTGACACAGAGTTTGGTAACACATAGCGTTCATCACATAGCGGATAAGATAGTACTATTTAGACATAACTTATATATCCTCTTGTTTGTTTTTTACATCCGACTTCCCGGGTTATTTTATTTTCAAACAATGTTAAAATTATTACGTTTTATTATTTATTTTTATATGCATGTCTGAAACAAAGCAGCTTTATTATATATAAAATGTATTGAAAACATCAACAAGAAATGCGTCGCAATGATTTATAATGTAATCAACATATGTAAACATTTGACGTTCGGTATTTTTGAACGCATTATATAATGTGATTGTTAAAATAACTATATATCTCTTGCTTTTCATCACAACTGGCAGCAAATGTAGTAAAATTAAATCAATTATATCGCTTTAATTTATAATAACTATGCATGTTCTACCGTTGCTGCCTCGTTGCTGGCTCGTTGCTGCCCCGTTGCTGCCTCGTTGCTGGCTCGTCGCTGCTTCATCGTCTCATCGTGAACTTGTACTATTCAATAAAGTCATTACAATGCATATGATGTGGATTTTTATTTGATTGTTCTGTGAATTGTAATTTAAATGCTCGAGATAGTTTACGTAATTGTTCTGTATTGTGTGTTCTGTGTTCTCTACCACTATTCTATATAAATATACAATTCTTGAGAAGTTGTGCTTTTATCATAATCAGAGTTATACCCACTGAGGGGTAAGAATCTACATCATGTTAAGGGTGACTGCCCTAGTGTGGGTCGATTTCATACATATCTTTGATATTCTTTGCTGACATGTGCAAGTCACCACGATGCTTTCAAGTTCAAGAAACTGGGTTAAATATTAGTTGCATCACATAATATACAATTCAAAATTGTGAACAGGTAGTTGAGTGAATAGAGGGAGCAAATCTGTACGTTTACGAAGACAATAGATTATATTCCGGTCAAATGCCTGATAACTGAGCAGCTGACCTTCCTCTATTCAAATAAGACCACGACCAGATTCTTCAAGTGTCACGCCAGTTTCACCTTTTTCTGGCCGCTGCCAGCCGCTGACTACATCGTGGAAATGATGACTATGAGTGTGTAATCCGTGAGTGGTCAGCGTTAGACGCTGAAGAAGAACGAGAGAGAACATCCAGACACGTAAACTCATCATCTATGGCGGAACAGGTGTACTCGAGCCTAAGTAGCTCTCGTATAGTGCGAAGATAAACTTACTATAAAAATAAAGGCAGCAACGCATCTGTACTTCCGCTGGTGTTGTGGACATCCATGGGCGTCGTTGACCACCTCTGTAGTCCCGCCGCTCGTTTGCCCCCTTCTCACATAATAAAAAGGCAGATGAAATGAAGTTAAGTTACATCTTTACGTGTCCGTTGAGAACAACGGGGTTCATTAGAGTTGAATAAATAACAATCAAAGTCAACCGATGCTAATGTAAGACTTTCTTGGCTGATGAGCTTTCATTCATATTAGCACAAATAGCTGTAACTTCACTTCATTTCATCTGCCTTTGTTTATGCTGGGACCCGAACACAATTCTTAGACATATCATCTAATTCACAATGACAAATGAAAGTCAATTTAAGTGAGATCAGATACTAACAGAAGCCAAAGTAATTTGCAAAACCAGATGTTCTCGGTATTATTCGAATACCCGTAACGCGACAAAATTAAAATGAACCGCGGCGTATACGGCGCGCGGAGCACGTACGCCCGAGGCTACGCCGGCTGACGCGGCCCGCACGCAACCGCATGAAGAAAGTGTGGTGCAACATTTTGACTATCATTTCAACTATTATCAAAATTGTTTCAAATGTGCATCACTGAAAGATTTAAATAAAATTTATTAACAAGTTCATTCATATATTTTGTACATCTTTTAGTCCATAACTAATGATAATTTATGCTTGTTGTACTAGAAAATCTTATAGATCAAGAACATACTCGTACATGGCGTCACTCTGAGCCGTGGGCCATGGGCAACTACTTGTCATCTCCTTGCAAGATCGTGTCACTCCTCAACGCTTTAGCTTCACCATAAAATACCCCATTCCTCCTTAATCACACGACTTATCAATAGGTTTCTTTGGGAATGAGAAGGCGAGACGGATCATCAAGCACTAATGTCTTTAAAAAAAATCGAGAAGTGTACCTATCCTTGTAAATCGTTTGCTATCTTCCTGCAGATTTTTTGTTTGTTTATAAAACTTTGTGCAATCTATAACAGCGTCCTCGATTATTGCTACGATCTGGAAATCGAACTCTGTCCCTCCGACGCCTTGTCGATCGGCTACCATCTCTTTTTTTTTGTTATTCCTATATTATACTTTGATTTGATAACGTGAAACATTTAAAAAGTTCAAATATCAAATCAAAGTATCAAAATGAATATCAATGTAAATAAATGTCCTTTATCTTACGGACGACGAGCGTACAAAAATAAATCGTAAATTGAACATGCTAAGGTATATATTACAGTGAGAGTACATTTGAATTCGTACATGCGCGATGGCGCCGCTTCCAAAACGGCTTGTTGAGGCAGTTGAAGGTCACCTTGAGCGTGCGAGTGGCCACGCCGGCGGCGGCGGCGGCAACGCGCACACCGCGCCCCGGCACTGCACCGCGCTGCCCGCTCCGTGCTCGCCTGCTCGCCTGCCCGGCTGCCCCTCTGCTCCTCTGCTCGCCGTACGTGACTGCTGACACGGCGTTACTGCTCACTGCTTCTGTAAGTACCTACTACATTTACACAATAATTACATACAATGTCACGTGTCCCTTATTATAACAACCTGTATATAAATAAAAATCGACGAATAAATGTAAAAGCTTTGGAATTTTCATCCGCCCGAATGTGTGTTTGTTGTCTCGAATGTTTGTATTGAAGCGCGTCGGCGCGGCTTGTTAAACTCGAGCGCATAAATAGGTACAACGTAAGGAATATCGGCTAATACACACTGATTTAAAATGTTCTGTATAAATGCTTGACTCTTAGACGACAGGGAGCTTTAGCCTTTTGGGAGATTTAGTCACGCGTCTTCTGATTTACGAGTTACTGCTTATATTAATTACCTACTAAAATAACAATCAATCACCTTTTCATTTAAACAAAACCGTACCTAAACCCGAGGAGTAGAGATTACAAATTTTAATTTGTCGCGGGGATGGGCCTACGCCTACGGTCGTAGCACACCTCTATCTTTTCATTAAAACAATAGGTAGCCTATAGGTTGGTAATGTATAGACATTACAATTGTACCTCTAAATTCTACCTTTTATAGAACTTGCAAAAGTAAGTTGTTGAAATTATAATTAACACAGATGAAAATCCATATTCTGCGATCATGTAAAGCAACGGAACAATAATTAATATCGCAAGTTATGCTTTGTACAGTCACGTAACGTAACAAGTAGGGACATGAGTGGCGGAGAGCAATGCACCTGAAGCCAGAGTGAAGCTCGCCATGAGTTTTTAAACAGAACAAGAGATCAAATCTCGTAAAATGATGCCATCATTGTAGTCATCTATAATTAAGAAAACGATAAGATATTAACTAGATTGTTATATTACATTGCTGCTTACTTTTATGTACATAGACGTCCTGAATGTCCTTCATAGCGTTGGAACGTTGTCAATGGAGTTCCCGGATATTGTTTGGTTTAGGTTAAGTACACATTGACGTATTTAATGTCATTCACGAATATAGATATAAACTACTAATCGCTATGACCATGTCCACAAAGATTAAAATTTAATTCCTTTTCCTTCCTTTCTCGACTGAAGTACAGTTGGTGTCGATTTCGGCGCACCCTATATTTACGAGGACCGGTTCGGCTGTTTCATTCAGTGCTTGCTTGCAGACGCGACGCGACGCGACAGCCACAGTCCGCTCTCGAGCGACGACGCACAGAACAAACAATACGCTTGCAATATTTCGTTGCATTGTTTAACTTATACTTAATTCTACGAAGTGATATTACTGTGTTTTTTTTTACGTAGAAGATGTCCGATAATTCTGAAAACAATTGGTTTACAAACGGTTAGTACCTGCTTCAGATATATTTTACTATACTTATCGTTAGCCGCTAGAAATATTTTTTTTAGCGGTTAAATAAATAAATTGCTGTTTTTTTTATGTTCATTAATAACTATTGGGAAACAACTGTTTGTTTAGAAAATAAATAATAGTTCATCGTGAAAAACAAAGTTTGTTGTCGGGGTTTAAGATCAAAAACTTTATTTTTATATCTACCTCATGTTGTATTGCATCTTTTGTACAATGTATTTGAAATTTCATCAGAAAACATTTGCTAAGTCACAACTTATAATATGTACGTATTTTGTACTAATAATTTTGCCAAGGTAATTATCTCATGGATTTAATTAAAGTTTGATAGGCTTATGAACACGTTAGCGGGTACTTAAAGTTTTATAGTCCCTTTAATTAAACCGTGTTCGTTTTAAATAAGAAAATGAGTTTTCGAAGATGTTTATCTAATTTCCAATTAAAAAGTTACATTTCATATACTTAGTACATTTACGTAACTGACAACTAAAAAAATATTTTATATTTGTGCACAAGTCAGTGTTTGTTCCGGGTATCTAATCTCCGGAACGATTAGACCTTTTTGACGGGGGTTTTATTGGAAGATATCTAATGTAGGAGGGAATAAAATTTGTTTTAATATCCCAAGCTGATGAAGTAAATCGCGTGGTATGGATCGCGACAGTTTTGTGGTTGCTATCAAAATTAATTTCCATAAATTTAATTAATAATATAAGTGTCTCGTAATTATATGTATTAAGGTTGAAATAATGTCAATAATTGGTTACACTTACGCCCTCTTGCGTTGTCCTGGCCAACCCATGGCAGGCAGCGTATGGCCGGCGTGTTGACGCTGACATTGAGTGACCTTGCAGTGAAGTGCCGCTTCCAGTAAAATTAGTTTAACCATACTAAAAACAAATATAGGCTGTTACCTTGCCTTAGTACGTGTGACTTTTATTATTAAAAAAATGGATAAACGCAAATGTTAGTATGAATTAATTAATTTTTATTTGCGTAACAATACCTAACATATCTCCCAAATTAAATATTTAATTGTGCTCAATCAGCCAACATAGCATTCTGTCATACTAAATTAACTATTTCAGACGTTGCTTAAATAGATATTGTATAAGGCAGTAAGGTTAATTTATTTTTGCAATAGTAAAAGGAAAATGTTCGACAAAAACATTTTGTTGTTTTGTCGGCCTAATTAATGCTGGGGTATTCGTGGATAAGATGGACGCGAGCCGGTGTGTCTTCGGTTCGTGGCGAGCACCGACACCGCTCTGCTTGTGCTACAGAAGTGCTCTGTTAGCTGACTGCACAATTATTATAATTCAGACGATATTAATTAAAGCAATTTTTGTATCAAAGGAATGTATAGATGGAACGTTATCGTTGTATCGGACGTATTTGTGGTAATGTGCTGTGTTTGTCGGGTGCAGGCAAGATGGCGACTGTGGAGCGGCTGCTGCATCCGCTGCACCAGAAGGCGGACGACACGGGCAGCAAAGTGACCGTGGTGGGCGCAGGCCAGGTCGGCATGGCCGCCGTCTTCTCCATGCTCACACAGGTAACGCACATCTCTTCATAATTGCCACAAACATTTTTGATTTACAATGAGTTTCCACTGCATTAACACTTGAGTAAAAACATGCAATACAATCTTATTGTAACAATTTAAAAAATAATTAAAGCTGCGTTCACTTGGAACTTCCCAAGTCCTCAGAGTACTAAAGCTTTCTACTGTTTGCATCATCTTAGTAAGCCCATGTAATTAACTTAAAAAATTACAAGGTCATTGCTAAAATATTTATAATTAGGAAAATGTCAAGTATAACGACGACGTTTAATATAGTCTGTCGACTCCGAGTCTGAATCTCTTCCTAATCGTTTATTGCAACAAATGCAAGCGTCGCTGTACATATATCAGCGTGAGTGCGCTAATGATGTGCTTTGAGTGTTCACTTCAACTATAACTAATAAATAACGTCATTGTGCCGCAAAATTTTCCTCTACAGTATCATAACTTTATTTCAAGCTAAACATTCGCCTGATAATGTATTCCTGGACTTTATGTGGACTAAAATTAACGCGCGTTTCAGGAATTTAAACAGTCCGGTGATTTGTTGTGCGAGGTTTTAATAAAAACAAAACACTAATTACGTTGACGATTATAAAAATTCCGTTTGAGTCTCTGCCAAAAGTGCACATTGTAGCAAAAGAAAACATAAATATTGTTCTCAAATGAATCGTAGGTCTCGGGAAACTGGTCAATATAAAATCATCGTTTGCTCAGAGGTAAAGCGCTTGACTTTACTCTGCAGGTCTAGGTTCGCTAACCGTCATGTGCCAATGTGTTTATCGGTTTCCGAATTGACTAACAACTGGTCATAGCTGACTTAGCGCAGGTTCCGAGTCCCTCTGTGGAAGTAGATATGAGCCGACGACTAACACAAAAGTAACATGTGACGTGATTTTACATCGTATGTTTGAGTTTGTCGCACTTGAGCCCTTTGTTATGAATCACCAGTTGCCTGCGTGTTTTACGACCTCATTTGGCTGTATCTTATCCTCATAGAATCTGATAACTCATAATACCATGTCAACGTGACAATGGAATGATTTCAGAGGTCGCTCAGAGTAATTTATGTTGCGGACTTGTGAATGTCCTACCATATATTAGTTAAGTCGCTTTTAACCTGTTCAGTCATACATGAGATACAATGCTTTTTAATTCACAGTCGGCAGTAATTATTTACTAAGTACATCACATGGAATAAAGAGGTGTCGCATGCAAACTTAAACTAAGCTTGAATCCATAATGCACGTTGCCGTCGCCGTTGTGCACCGACATGACTTCATCATTTGTAGTCGGCCGCTGACTCAGTCCGTCCGCGTTCATGTTCACACAAAACACATGCAAATGTTCTCACATATGCTCACGCGACGTTACAATGTTTGACAACATTGTAACGTATGTAACAATACGTATTGTGCTCGAGGTTCCCTTACAGTAGAAATATTAATCTAAGTATGCACACAAAGTTGCCATTATATATTTTATCGCATTCTATGATACACATTTTACGCACACATTATCTGTATGCTGTTAATTTTTTTTTACTTAAAATGACTATTTTTTTATTTATGTGATCACTACATTCCATTTTTAATTCCACACCTAATGCAATAAGGCAAGTTTTCTATAGAAACTTCTTCATTAGAAATAAATAATAATGTACATAAACTATTCTACATTAATTTCTTCTTTTTTTATTGTAATTCGTTTTTTTTTTTGTATTTTGTACTTTGCATTTTTTGTGTTGTTTAACTTTTTGGTTTTCTATTGTTTATTCGCGCATTAATATTTTTGTAAAATACTTCTATTAGTTGAGAGCTGTTATTGGCTGTACAATTTAAATACCACTATACCTACTTTGTTGTAATAGCAGTTAGTTTTCCATGAAAATAAATAAATAAATAGATGTACTCGGAGGTAAACAGGTACATTGGAAAAGTTATTCTATAGATCCCTACTGTACTGTGTAAGTATTTCCTAACTTTGTAAGTGAGACTTATGCTTTAGCATGAATGAAGTTTTGTGTGTGCACGTAATAGGGCGTCACCAACAACATCGCGCTGGTGGACGTGGTGCAGGACAAGCTGCGCGGCGAGATGATGGACCTGCAGCACGGCTGCGCC